AAGGAGGAGGAGGAAAAGGAAGAGAAAGCTCTATTTACTCTAGACAGAGAAAGCAGGGACAGATTAAAGGGAGGACTCCACCCAAATCCAGCTCACTGGGGCTACTTAGAGCAGGAGCATGGGTGAGTCTTGGGAGGCCACATCACCAAAGAGTCCCTTTGGGTGAGTTATGGAGGAGTTACCACAGAGGAGACCCACCTGAGGCAATCTTGGTGCTATCCAGAAGGCTTCATGAGTGTCATGGGCCCTGTGAATCTATGCCTCCTCCCATTTCTTCCTCCCTCCTTCTTCCCTTTTCCTCTTCTTCCTTCTCCCTCTGTGAGAGAGCGCTAACAGTCTCAGTCTCCCGAGGTCTCTAGAGGGCAGCCATAGAGCTCTGATTCAAGATGGCGACGGTTAGGTCCAGCCTGGAAGAAATGGCTGCCATGAGTATTACCAAATCTTTGCTCCAGATAAAATGTCATGTTGTTGCTATGAATAATCACTACTGCTTCTCAGTTCTGCTTCTCTGAACACTGTTTTAGTGTCAACCATCTCTCTTAACTGTAGGAGAGTTCACCTTGTCCAAAAGTCAAGCACACACAAAAGAATTAAAGTCTCCAAGTGTCGTCTTTCATCCGTGCCTGAGTCAGCTTCAGCAGGCAAAATGCTGAGGAGTGGGCATTGATAAGATGTTGGGTGTTGGCCTTTGACAAGCCAAAGGATACAGCCTGGATAAAAATGTAAAATATTCCAGAAAAATAAAAATAAAAATAAAAACAGCACGGAGCAGGTAGAATTGGTGCATCTGAAAGCACAGTCCTAAAAACTGGGTTCTGAGTCGTCCCCTGCTGCCACCTGACTGTGTCATGTTAGAAAAACCAGCTCCCCTCTAGCGGTCTCTGTTCATCTATAAAAAGAGAAAATTCAACAAAGTCCATAAGGCCTTTCTACCATTAACAAGCCACGAACGTCATTTAAAGAGGTTGACAGCCTAAGAAGTAATTATTCTGTAGAAAGCATCTTCTTTTTAAAAAGATTTGTTTATTTTATGTGTATCTGTGTGCCTGCTTGTCTGTGTGGATCGTGTGCATGTAGTGCCAGCAGAGTCCAGAAGAGGGCACTGAGCAGGAGTTACAGGTGGTTGGAAACTCCTATTGTAGGTGCTGGGAACTGAACCCAGGTCCTCTGCAAGAGCAGTAATGTGCTCTTACGTGCTGAACCATCACTCCTGCCCCGAAAGCATCCCCTTTTGTGTGTATCTAAGTGTGAGACTATGAAAGGGAGGCCAGGAGAATGTGTCCTCAATAAACATTAGGCCTACTCACAAAGTGATATGAGTCAAGATGTTCTATACAGCTTTAAAAGTACAAACAATGGAGTCTCCCAATAGAAAGGGAAGGATTAAAGAAATCATGAGATAGCCCCCAAAGCAATGTTCAGAGTCATTTAAAATAATGCAGCTCTATACCTGTTGATATAGCGATTAATAACATACATAGAACATCTATAAAAATGTGTACCTTTTGAAATAAGTGTGTCCACACATACCTTTGGAAAGGTAATGGTAAGTATTTTTATGATAGTGAAGTTGCTCTAAGAGTTTTCTTTTGCTAATTTGTGATCTTCTTTTTTTTAAAAAAAAATAAACACTCCTGTTTCATTTTTTCTTTTCTTTTCCTTTTTAGTGTGTGTGTGTGTGTGTGTGTGTGTGTGTGTGTATGTGTGTGTGTGTGTGTGTGTGTGTGTGTGCCTCGCAAGACTAGAAGAGGGCATGGAGCCCCCTGATGTGGGTGCTGGGAGCCAAACTCAGGTCCTCTGTGCTCTTAACTGCTGGCCCCCTACTTGTAAATTTTACCTTTCTAAAATAAATATGCTTTATTTGAGTAATTAAAACAAAAACACAGGACATAGCAGGTTTCTCGGGGAAACAGGACCAATAGGAGACACACACACATGCAAGCATGCACACATGCAAAACCTGTGTATAAACATGCACATACACACACAGGGACTCACTAAGAGATGCTAACATGTATGTTTGTGTGTGTATAAATGCATGAGTGTAGTCAGATTTGTTTTAGGGAATTGACTCATTTGATTGTGTGGCTAACAAGTTCAAAATCCAGAAAATAGGCCAGCAGTCTGGAAGCTCAGATAGGTGGCTTCATTTTATTTTTTTCCATTTTCTTTAGATTTTATATATTTTTATTGTGTGTGTATTGGTGCTTGCCTGCATGTATGTCTGGGTACCACATGTATGCAGTACCTATAGAGGCCAGAAGAGGGTGCACTGGATCCCCTGGGTCTGGTGTTAGAGACAGTTGTGATCCACCATGTGGATGCTGGAAATTGAAGCTGGGTCCTCTGGCAGAGCAGTCAGTACTCTGAGGTGCTGAGCCATCTCCCCGGCCCTGGAAACCTTCTTTCGAGGGAGAATTTCTTCTTCTCTGGGAAACTTTAGCTTTGCTCTTAAGGCCTTCAGCTGGTTGGCCAAGGCCTGCCCTTTTCCAAGGATAATCCAGCTGACTGCAGAGTCAGGTCTATAGCTTGATGGTAGAGCATTTTGCCTAGCAGGCATGAAGCCCTGGGTTTGATTCCCAGCACCATGAATAAATACAGTCAGTGGACCACCCATGTCAGCCAGGCTCTACAGAATCTCTCCCAGCAGATTCATGATTGATCAAACAAAGGGGCGCTGTGGACTTCCCAAGTACAACTAGCCCGAGGAGTCCCAACTTTTAGCAGTGAAGGTCAGTTACAAGACAGACACTTTGTAATCCACTGGTAGCCTGGTAATGAGGGACAGTAACCTGCAAGAGTTCCTGCGGGAACCTGGAAGAACGGAGCTCCTTAGCATCCCTGCATACCGGTGGTTGCACTTGTGTGGGGGGTGTGGGAATCACAGCTGGAATGCCTGAGACGGGGTGGGAAAATAACATGGACAGTGGGAGGAAGCTTCGCACCCCTGGCTACGAAAAGAACATTGGTTTACGTTCGGCCAACTTTCAAGGGGTGCGGGAGTACCCCCATGACATCTGGTGCTTAGGAGCCTGGCTTGAAACGGCTTTGCAGCTTCACACTGCACACTGGGGACCGTGGAGTGTCGCCGGCTGGCCCACCATCAGGGCAGCATTCTTTCCCCACGGATCCTTAAGTCATTAACGGTTCCAAATTAAACAGCCGAATGATCGCACTGCTTGAGAAAACAGCACACAGTGGGCCCCAGGTGACTGATGGGATGTTCAGTGGTAAAAGTGAGGGTAGGCAAGATGGCACAGAAAATGAAATGGTAAGTGTGCCAGCAATGGCACACACACCCTGGTAAAGCCTTGTTGCTCCATATGGGGAAAAAATCATACCAAAAAACCGATGGTAGTCTCTCAAACAGCCAACGGGGAGAAATACATTCTTGTGGTTTCTTCCTCAGCTCTGGCTGTTGGGGCACTGAAAGGCTGTAGCCAGTGTTTTCGGCCTTCCCCAAAGCTGACAGCTGCTACACATTTCCTGTGCTTGACATTGTTTCTGCAAGGAGCATGCGTTACTTTCATAGTCAAGGGGGAAATCATAATCCAAAACTCTATCAGGAGGGTCTGGAGAGGTGGCTCAGTAGTGAAGATCATTGACTTCTTTTGTAAAGAACCCAGGATTGATTTCCTCATCCACATGGAGGCTCACAACCATCTGTAACTCCAGTCCGAAGGGATCATTTTTTTGGGAACCAGGCATGCACATGATACACAGATAGACATACATGATAGGCAAAAACCCCTTATATGTAAAATTAAAAGTAAAAAAACCCTGCCGGGCGGTGGTGGCACACGCCTTTAATCCCAGCACTCGGGAGGCAGAGCCAGGTGGATCTTTGTGAGTTCGAGGCCAGCCTGGGCTACCAAGTGAGTTCCAGGAAAGGCGCAAAGCTACACAGAGAAACCCTGTCTCGAAAAACCAAAAAAAAAAAAAAAACCCAGAAGACTCTTGATCTCAAGGTTTTTTAAAAAAAATTTTAATTATATGCATGTGTGAGTACAGATGTCCAGGCCAGAAGATGGCATCAGATCCCTTGGATCTGGAGTTATAGTTGTAAGGTACCCAGTGTGGGTGCTGGCAACCAAATTTGGGTCTTCTGCAAGAGTAACACGTGCTCTTAACCACTGAGCCATCTCCTCCAATCCCTAAAAAGAATAGCTTGAAGACATGTGCTTTCTCTCTCCCTCCAATGGAAAAAATAAAAAGCTGTGAGAAACAGTAACACAGACGAACTCTCAAGGGCTGAGCCGGACACGGGAAAGATACTGCAATGGGTGAGAAGCTTGAGGACTTGGGGGAACTGAAGCAGATGGGAGCCGGGAAACAGACCAGCAGGGTTTACACAGACGTGATTTCCCAAGGGGCGATATGACAGTTGATTAATTATAAATGCACACACCCAGATTGGCAGCCACCCACTAAACTGGGGGTTTATCCTAAAGGAAGAAAGGACATATGGACAAAGATCCCTGCTATGACACTTGCTGCATTCCTTCTGGTTTGTATTTCTAAGGCTCTGTAAGTTTCACCCCTGTCCTTTAACCTCCTCAGACTCCTTTGCTCTCTCTACGAGTTGAAAATCATGTAAAAAAATTTCATTACAATTCTAGGTAAATTTCGTCCCGTGCTGGGCCACTGGTATGTTCAAATGGCGTTTATTTCTCCTGGGATCCAGTTTCATAACTCCAAGGCACTTGACAGAGGGCATCTCTGGGACAGACGGGTCCTCTGTTGTTATATACGACTAGTTCCTTAAAACGCGCCATGCATTGTTAACTTGCACATTACCTGGCCAGCTTTTCTGTTCCAGTTTCTAATTTCCTTTTTTATACTTAGCTATCCATCATTCTATTTGTTATTTTTCCAACCTTTTAGTTATATTCTGTGTTCTGTGACTCTGTCCTCCCCGTTCCTTCTATTGTTCTGAAAAAGACCCTACCCACCCACCCACACACCCTTCTTCTCCCTCATGGCTGGAATTTTCAGTTTGATCATTTTCTTTATTATTATTGTTGTTGTTGTGTGTGAAGTGTAGGTGTCAGGGCATGCCATGGCACGAGTGTGGAGACCGTGTGGAGACCGTAGGATGACTTTCAGGAGTGAGTTCTCTCCTTTACTTGTAGGTTTCAGTAGTCCAACTCAGGTCATTAGTCTTGGAGAGCAAATGCTTCACCCAGTAAGCCGTCTCACCAGGGCCACACAGCTGTCCAGAACTCTGGTGCTCCGCCAGCCAGGGTTAGGATTCATTGTTTGTATCTCTTCCTCTTTCCTGGTTTACCCTTTCATTCTTCTGGAGCACACTCCGGAGTAACTTCCTTTTAAAAAAGGTAAACTAATAACATTAGAGGCAGGACAGCATACTGTTAAGAAACCTTCTGTGAGGCCGGGGGATGGGGTGG